CGAAACAAATGTTGACACCTTGAAATGAAACCTACCGGCATGCTAGTCAGCCACCGGCCGTTGAAAAAAGAGAACCCCACCTCGGGAGTCCAAGAACCTTGCAGGCGTTGGACAGCAGCCTGCAACGCTTTGATAGGAGCTGAATTGATGGCGATCTGATTTGGACGAAGCACCCACTTATGAAGAGCCGTCATAAACCGTTGGGTACTTAGAAACAAAAGGTCAGAACAGTGGCCCATAGCCATTACAGCTGTGAGGTCACGAGAGTCGTGGCCCCCTGGATGATCAAAACCTTGAACTGCACATCGCCAGGTCTGAGCATAGGCCTGGCATTCCTGTTTTGTCGGACACCGACCATTGAAAAGAGCTCCCCAGGAGGCAGTGGGCGCCAAGACGCTGACTGCAACCGAGTTCCTGAAAGCCTTAGCTGTGGGCAGGAGCGCTATTCGACGAGCGACCTGTGCCACTTTATCAGAACGTTTCTGTTCCTCCTCAGTCCTACTACGGGAATTAAACCCATACAAACACCCAAAATTTTGGCCGTATTTTGAAAGGGAATGCCAAGCTGCAGGCATTCGACCCGAGCATCCAAGGTTCGTGGCAAGAATTGTTGTTTAGATGCATTATTGCGAAGACGAGTGTTTTGGAACAGAACTTCCCAAGCCTGAAGCGCTTGGTTCAAGGCCTGTCGGCTTGTGGCGACTAATGTCCTGTCGTCCAAATATATTAAGGACCTGGCGTTTGGTTCCTGGCTGAGGACGAAACGACTGGCAACGGCCATTAGAGCGCTCATGGCAATTGGAGACCATGGGTCTCCTTGGGGGAGACCGGCTGTGTTTTTGAGCGGGGCGGGATCAATTGCCCCGCGATAGCTGAGCCACCTTTCGTGGTGGTCCCATTGGTCCTGCAAGAGTTTAAGGATAGGTGCCTGAAGACCAGCGTGTTTGAGGAGTTTAAGACACACGGTCCAGTCGGTGGTATCGAAAGCTTTCTGCAGGTCTAATGCCATGGCATATGGCCAATCCCGAGCTTGGTACTTGTTTTCCATGGTGAGTAACAAATCCTGCGCTGCTAACCCATTGCACCCAGCCTGATCTTGACACAGAAGACCCTCCACAAAAGATTTGCAATGCTGAAGTCTGATGGCTGCCCAAATGCGGTAGGCAGTGGGGCCTACACTGATTGGACGAACATCCCCTAAACCTGCGACTACTCCCTTTCGAGTGGTAGCCTTAGGCAGGAAGCAAATTTTCCAGTGACGCACCTGTGTGGGCCAACGGCCAATGTTTTCACATGTCTGAAGGATCTGGGCGAACCTGTCAATCGCCAGTTGTGGCAAACACGTGAGGTGACGGGGTGTGATCCCATCCGGCCCTCCTGCTTTGTCTTTCATTTTCCTGGCTACGCGAATAATGTCTTTGCCTGTGATAGGAGGCAATGCTTCAGTTTGGGCCGGCATGGGAAAATGTTCTTGAAAAACTTCAGAAAACTGATCCCATGAGTCCAAAGCAGAGTCCCCAAAAGTGCGAGACCAAAAAGTATGGAGTGCAGCGAGAGCTCTTGGTCTGGAAGTGAGGATCTGACCGGATTCATCTTGCAAAACCGGAGATCCAACCTCAGTCAATTTAACCCATTTGCAAGCGCCGCTGTGGTCTGTGACCTGAGTTTTCCATTTGTTTAACTTTTGGCTAGATTTATTTTGAAGAAGAGCCTGGAGCCTGCCGTGAGCTAAACGTTCTGCCAGACCGAAAGCTGCTTGACGGACCGCCTGCTTTTCAGGAGCAGGCACATCCCTGGTGGATTCAAGTTTTTTCTGCAAACCCGGGTTGAGTTGGTACCCGAGGTGACTGAACTTCCGAGCTTCTTGCAAACGCCGAATCCAGCGACGGAGCTTCCGCTCAGCAAGGGGCTGCAAAGGGCCCATAGCATGAGTGCTGGTTTGAACCCTGGGCGCTGAGCCCAGTGGCCGTTCAGGTCGACCTTGGTCTAAAATACCATTGCGGGTCAGCCACGTTTCTATATCTTGACACCAAACTAGCCAAGCCTGGTCCACATTGCTGAGCACCTCTGTCCATCTCTCGTCTGATGTACAGCTGAGAGCCCAAGCTTCCTGCTGAGAAGGAAAATTCTGTTCAGCCATTTTCCTGGTGTGAGCAAACCTGAACTGTTGGCGTCCAGGCTTTTGCGTTTGGACTTCCCAATGGACTTCAGCTAAAGAGTGATCTCCGTCCCCTGGCTGCCACGAAAAGGCAGCAGTCGGGCGAAGATCCAGCGAGGACCAAATACCGTCGATTGGAAACCTACTGGAATTGTGACCAGCATGAGCCCGGCAGCAACCTTTGATTTCGTTCATCAGAGTGGCGCAAGTACCAGCCATTTGATTCGTATTGGCATCCATAGCTACGATCCAAGCTTGGTCCATGTCACTAGACAGAGTCTGGCTAATACGGGTAAGACCTTGGAAATCTTCATCATCAGCATGGCGATAATAACTGCAGAGTTTAAAGGATTTATTTCCTCCGTGTACTTCGGCCAGCACAAACTGGCCCTGAGGATCGCTCCAAGTATCGAGATTAACCCAAGTGGCTCACGGCAGCAGATAGCGACGCCCCCTCGGTTGGAAGTACCTTGGGGAGAAGGGACTTGCAGCATTTGCCAACCGTGCCTTAGACATGCATTGACGACTGCCGGCGCATTGGTTGACGTGATGTTCATTTCTTGTAGGGCCACCAGCGAAATACCTGCAGTCTGAGCCCTATCCAAGCAGGCCATACCATTGGTGTGCCAGGAACGAATGTTTTGGCTCCACATCTTGACGACGGGACAAGGACCTGGGTGTGAAGCTTCACCTATCCGTTGGGCTCGGTGCCCTCGACGTGTTGCACGAACACCATCAGCGACTTTGCTAAGTCTCGCAGCAACCTTAAGACATGTCTGCCAAATTTGCTTTCTGCGCTTTAGACTAGGTGCCTTGCTGCAGCGAGGATGGGAGGAACAAATAGAGATGGGCAAATCACCTGCCGTAACCATTCGGCAGCACCGCTTGCACTGGTATCGGGGGTACTGTAACACTTTACCCGATTTGCATGTGTAAAGAGTGACGCAAACTGCCTTACTTCCTATGTCATGTGCACCGGCACAAGCTCTTTTTTGGAATTCAGCAACCCTGTGTTCCCAACGTTGTTTGACCACGGACTGAGAAGTTTGGACCGCTTGGACAGCAAAACCCTGCCTAGGGATTGGGGGGACCTTACGCCAGGCATGTACTTTTTGCAAGTGGTTTTTGCGTTTGTACGAGCGGCCCGAAGATGGCTCAGCTAGGGAAATTTTGAAATCGCACAGTGAACACGACCACCAAAATTTTGTGTGACCGCCATCAGCTTCGGATGGCATTAGTGGAATGCCCCCAAACAATTTGGGAGGGGATGATAAACTATTTACCATGCTAAGTCTTTTTTGGTTGTTCAAAAAGGAGAAGTGATTCAAAAGGTCTTGGCTCTCCGCTCTCTCCTTTGCAATCGATTCCAGAGTTTGAGCCCACCACTGATTGGCGAGTTGCAATCGTTTGGCAATGCTGGGCAACTTGGAGCCACCAGCGGCATTGCTGGCAGAACACAATGTTTGCACGCCCCGATTCCAATGGGTGAAGGATTCATCGCAGGCTTGACACTTCCATCGGCGCCAGCCTATGTTGACAGGTGTGAGCTCATGCATGCCTGCCCACCCGCGCTTCTTTGCCAACAGCAACCAAGCTTGGCACCGCTTGGACCTTTCTTCCCGCTTGGTTTGGACTCCCTCACCAGGAGCACCCGGAGGGTCAGGCGGCATGTCAGAATATTGGATTCCGTGAACCTGATTTAAGTGTTTTTTGCGACGCGGCCCATGACACGTGAGGTCTTTGTGCTTCAAGACCTGAAAACCGCACGTGCAAGTCCACCAAACAGAGATAAGGTCGGGCAGCTGAACAAAAGGCTCACGTTTAGTAATACCACACGTCTCGGTTGCGGAAACCACTGGATTGGTTTTCCTCTTCTTGGTGGAAAGGTCCAACATACTGGGCACAAAAGTGTGACTACGTTTTTTACTCGCTTTAGATCCTGTGGCTGATTCACTTGGTGATCTTTCAGGGCTGAAGGTCACAGTGTGAACCGAGGGAGTGTCAGGCTGGAAAGATTTGGCTTGCTGAGCAACTTTGATTGGCACATTTTTGCTGCTAGCTTTTTTACTATGCGATCCATCTGGGCTGAAAAAACACGTATGTACCGATGGGGTGCTTGGCACTGATTCCGCAAAAGAAGCTGGCTTGACATCAGAATCTGCCTTTTTGTTGCGAGGGTTTGTGGACCCTGGAGTGTTCGTGCCAGCACCGGCTAGTTTCTGAGAAGGCGGGATATCAGTCTCACGCAACCACCTTTCTGGAAATTTGGTGCCAGTTGGTGGGATTAGCAACTGGTAATGCCCGCTTTGGAGCGTCACTGCGATTGGTTGGCAACCTTTGGCTTGGCATGCGATACCCTTTGAAAATCGTGGAGCATGGGTGTAACGTTGCCAGACTTCCGTGCCATCCTTCTGGACATCACAACTCCACAGGATCAGAACAGTTCCTGTCTTTTCACAAATTGCCTGAATCTGCATACCATCAATCCAAGCACCTTTCTTGGAGGTGGCTTGAATCCATGCTTCAAATGAATCAAATTTTTCTCCTGAGGCAGGATCGCTTGCAAAGAACTGACTGTATCGAGCCAAGTGTTGAGGTTTGCGAATATGTTGAAACACACTTGCACGAAGATTGGATGCATTTCGTTGCGCAGTTTCGGCATCCAGAAACTGCCCATTTTTATTGAGTTCCAGCCCTTGCGAAACAACTAAGTATCCACAGTCTCCTTCGCCCCCGCACTCATGTCTCTTCCACCCTGCGTGAAGTAAGGCTTCCAATTCAGACACTGCTTTTGGCGGGGATGGCACTTCCGGAGTGGCTGGATCAATTTGGGTTGCATCAATCATGTCCGATGCTGCAGGGCTAAGACTACGCTTTCGCGCTGGGGCATCATCAGCGCGTGTTTGTGCGCGTAATGTTCTTGGAGGCCCTGGCACGGGCTGGTCATCTCGCCATTGTTTGCGAGGGCCTGGCACAGCTTGAGCTTTACAAGCCTGTGCCTTTTGAGGTGCTTTGTGGATATATATTCTAGTGGATGGTGGAATTCGGTATTCCCAAGCTGTCTGCGAAGGCAATCCCGATTGGGGGGACTTTGCTTTGATCCACCAACTAGTTTGTCTGCTTTTCCGTTGGCTTTGTCTACTTAATATACATGGTTCTTCCCAGTTTTGCTCCTGAAGAAACTGAAGAACCTCTTCCTGCTGCCAGTCATGCGGAAAGCCAGTGGCGCACCAGTGGCTGAAGTTGCTGGCAAAGGCCGCTGTGTCTTGCGGCGATGCAAAGAGGCCCAAGTCATTGGATCCACCTTTCCTGAGCTTTAACCCCTCTTTGCGCGACTGCGCAATGGTGAAAAGGCGACGGTGGTATGCTTCATCACTTTCCTTTCCTTCTCTGGGGAACCAAAAGATTTTTTGGTCATTATGTTGCACGCCAAGCTTGCATGCGAAGACACCTTCTTCTCCGCTTCGGGCCACTAGCTGGTCAGCAGTAGCAACGGGAAGCTGGATTACTGTGTTCAAGAATACTTTGCTCTGAATGGTCTCAGACCACCACTTTCCACCAGATATCTGACTGACCTTGATGTCAGGGTGCAAGCTAGCAACGCTTGCTAGCACGGAGTTTGGAGTGTCCTTGTAGCCACTGCTGTGAAGGTAGGCACGGAAGTGCGAAGCAGCTGTCAGCCGCACTGCAACCCTCTTTATGGCTGTGACTTGTGTTTGTATGATTTCAACTGGAGGCAACGTCCATGGTCCCCGGGAACCTGTGATTGCGTCCATCAGCGAAACATCAAGTTGGCGGCTAACTTGGTTCTTCTTTTTGGCCGTTACACGCGTGTGATAAGCACCAGGTGTGTCTTTGGCCTCATCAGTGAGGATCAGAGTCATACTGCCATTTAATGCATGAGCATCTATCAAGCTCTGCAACTCTTCCAGCTGTGCCTTGGTGTTGATATGCATAATGTTTCCCACGATCGTGTCACCAGTCGTGAGATTTTGTTTGAGCGTCTGCAAATGGATCAGAACAGGTTTCATGGTCCACTCGGAAATTCTCAGTTCTGTGATACTTGGATAGACTTTCGATTGTGTGGCTGTCTGCTGATACCAGTCACGGTGATAGACATAGTCATTTTGCCATTGTTGGTGGGCTGAGACATCTGCTTCTGCTTCTCCTTCCTCCCACCACCACTCATTGCTGGCGTAACTCCATGGCTTTCTTTCCTCAGTGTAATTCCCAGTCTGGTTCCACCAAGCTGAGTCAGCTTTGGAAGACTTTGGAGGAGCGCTGCTTGGATAGAACGTTTGCTGCTGTTTCTGATGACCATTGAGGGCTTGTTGCACCGCTTGTGCAACTTCCATGTCATCATCGCAACGGGCACGGCAATCTGCTAGAGTACTTTCAAGCAAAGAAAGTAAAGAAGCATTTTGGTGCATGGTGTCATCGGGACCCTTCTGTCTTTTGGGTGCCCTCTGTGTTTGCATCCATTGGTTTAAGGTTTGTTGCAGCATGTCGGCCAGATTGACCTGCTAATCCTTTCTTTCTCTTCTTTTCCTTGTTGCAAAAGAACCAGCCCCTCCATGGCCACCGGAGAGTTTCGTCCAAATTGCTGCATGATTGTATACAGGTCTCTTTCTGTAACAGCCATATTTGGGTTTCAGTCTTTTGCTCCAACAGCGCTGTGCAAAGCGCCGAATTCTTGTGTTTGCTGCTTTGACCCTCTGTTTTTTGCAAAACCTGGCAGGGAAAAAACAACGTTTGCCAACTGATCCCTTCAGTGTGGGAATCAGGCAGCTTCCTTTCTTCCTCTTGGGCTTTTTCTTTTTCTTCTTCCTTTTCCGTTGTCCCGGCGTTGCTGCGTAACATCCAATGGTGCCACAAAACAAAAGCAGGGCTGCTAATGGGACCAAAAAGTGCGTGTTCCACTTCTGATCACTTCTGATTTCATCGAATGATGCATAAAAATAATGGTACGCGTGACTCTGAGAAAAGTCTAGATTGCTCGCCTGGGTAGTACCCACGCAGTTTAGAGTCGCTGAACATGCAAAAAGGTCAGTGACAGTAAATTCAGTTGAATTCAAGTGCATCTGCAACACATCGCAAACAGTGTTGCTAGTGCAACTGGAGTGCAAAACATGTCGAACTGGCTGTGCTGAAGCTGTAGGCAAGGTGCACAACAAAGCCAAGATCCAGCCAGCAGTACGTATAGATATTCGTGCCTTTCCATAGCCAAAGCGCCAGGGAGAGGCCTGCAAAGATGTCGCAAATGTGATGTCGCCATTTGTGCTAGCAAACACGATGCTCCCCGCAAGAACCACGATGGAGGAGGCGACATTCTTGCTCACTTGTGGTAGACGAAGAAGACGGAATAGCGGGGTCTTCCTCCGGGTCATTCACTTGCATCTGCTGGTTCTCCTTGGCGTCATAGATGAACTCTCGCTCTTGGTCATCCCTGTGAAGGCCTTGATGTCCACCAGGTAGTGCGCAGCCAGGAGCAGCGCATCTGTAAGCTCCTGAGGTGCTCTTGATGGGCGTCCCATCCAAAACATCAGGTCCTCGGGAATGAAGAGCTCTTGTCAGCGTTGATGGGGGATCAGCAGATCCACTCGCTGGTTCATCTTGAGGATCGCCAGGATGATCTTCAATCTCATCTTCCTCCTCCGCAGCAGGCTTCTCGTCCTCTGCTTTGCGCTTCTCACCTTTTGGTGCAGGAACTCGAAGTCGCTTTGGTGCTGGTCCAGGTTGTGGTAGGAGTTCGAATCTGGTTTCTCCAGTCCATCGGTCTTGGAGATTTCGTTGGATGTCCACGGTGTCCTTGATCGTTGCAGGTTCTCCTCCAGCCACGTTTTGAACTGTGGTGATGCGGTTGCCTGTCAACTCATCCAGAGACACTGGACAATTGGTTGATCTCAAAGGGTTGAAGAGTGCGAGTCGTGGTAGAACATGTTTACTCACAAGGAAGCGGGTGCTGTTCTCCTCGACCAGGGTCCAAGAGTCGGTGCCACGCTGTGCTGGTTCTTGAAGTACTTGAGAAGGTCCAAGGTCTTGTCGTTGTAGATCATCGCTTGGAACGTTCCCAGCAACATCCTTGTAGTACCTCCCCTGGAAGGCTTTCATCAGGTTCTCCACAGTGACGGGTGTGCGATAGATCGCTGTACCCTCCATGATTGCAGTCAGCTCCTCGCGGCTTGAAACAGGACGGATCTGGTTGCTCTTGGCGCGGATGAGCGTTGATCCACTGGAAAGCCATGCAGTCGTGCCCTCCATCATGATGAGGCGGACTGGTCCAGTCCAGGATCCCTTCACCTTGCCAGGTTTCACTCTCTGTCTCCACAGCATCACAAGTTGCCCTGGCTTGTACTGGGATGCTTGGCGTCCAGTTGCATTTGCCAATTTCGAGAAACGTTCAGCAGCTCGTTCTCGTTCAAAGGCAATCTTTGCACGCTCGCGCTCTTTCACCAGTCCCTGAAAGGACTTCCCAGGTTGAACTCCGACCAGCAACTTCTCGTCGTCCAGGGGTCCACCACCAGCTCCAAAAGCCCATTGAAATGCGCTGAAGCCGCTGGGTCCCACATGTGCATTCATCGATGCAGCCGCAAGAGAGAACAGGTCGGGAACAGAAAACTTGCTACCTTCTCGGAGAAGTCGTGCCACTGTTCCCTTTGCAATGTTGATTGCACTCTCCTCAAATCCCATGATCCAGTGAGCTTCGGCAGGTGCTATCGTCAAACCAACTCCTGCTCGGTTGAGGTAGTCCATGTACTCCTCACTGGAGTAGTATCTGGCAGCGTCTGCAAAGACCCACTTTGGCGTAGGATAGACCATCTGCCATTTCATCATGCTCTTGATGATGTCGTTGGATGTTGGTTCCCAAGCTCCCGTCTCATAGACCTTGAGGGTGTCGATCATCGTCAGTCCTGATGCGCGATCTCGCCATAGGATCATCTTGAACTTGGTCTGATTCGGCTCGTCCTCAAACTCGAAGACATCCGTTCCCAGCACCTCGAAGATGCTTGGAGTTTCTCCCATGCTCGCTGGTGGTCTGGGCTTCGGTTTGGACGATTCTATGCAGTCAGGGCAGACCAACGTTGAAGCCAAAGAGACTGCCCATGCTGGTGCACCCTTCGCCTTCAGGAGGTTGGCAAGGTTGCTCATCCCTGAATGTCCACTGGCTCTGTGCACCCTCAGCATGAGTTGTTTCACTGCCTCCAGCTTCTTTCCCGTTGGGGCCACTTCCAAGTTCAGCTTGTTGCGGCTCAGGGCCATCACAGCCTTCTCATCACGAAGGTCTCCGCAAGAATGTCCAAGATGGGGTCCATGTAGTCCTCCACAGGAGTGTCCATGAAGTTGATCAGGTAGATCAGCCGTAGTGACCTCGTCCTTGGTGGAGTCGATGTTGAGCAGGTATGCCTCCGCAAGGGTCGTGGTGTTGTCCGACCTCCTCCAAGTGTGTGTCATTGCCTTCACGATGGCTTTGCACATGGAGGCTGGGTAGTATGCGGACGCTTGTGCTGCGGGACCTCGACATTCTGCGTGCTCATGTGTATGATCGCACCGCTTGTTCAATGTCAACCATAGGTCCCTACAGGACGTAAGGATTGTCCACGCCTTTTTCAGCGGGGTGCCCTTCCACTCCAGTCCATACTGACAGCCGTCTATTCTCACCCAATAGACTTGTTTGCGGTACTTCTTGATGAGCCTTTCCAAGCGCTGTAGCGGCTTTGATCGCCATCCAGAAACCGCTGATGTGGGCCACTCCCATGCGACATCCCCGTCATTCTTGAGGATCTCCTCGAAGGCAGTGACCACTTCGTCGCACCTTCTCAAGTCTTGACCTCTTCGCTTGTAGAACTTATCCAGCTGCTCTGGCGTTCGAGGTGTCAGGTTCTGCAGGCTACTCATCCGAGTACACACCATTGAAGCCCAACCCAGTTTTGGAGGTTCGGCCTTCACCTCAGCCAGAAGCTTCTCTGTGCCTTTCTTGGAGTCCAGGTCAAAGCCGTGCTGATAGTTGATGCGTTTCCCATAGAAACCATGGTCCTCGAAGGTCCTCGTCAAGGTTGAAGTTGAAGAGCAGGCAATCTCCATGATGTCCACCTGCGGTTTGACCATGCCCACAAGCTCATAGAGCGGGTTCACCAAAGCCGCAGTGACACATGCTGCCTGTGCCAGGCGTTTTGCCAGTGAGGGCCTGACAAGCTTCTCCTTGACGCTCTCCATGTCGTCGACCTCGTCCCTGATCTTGTCATGGATCAAGACAGATCCATCATTCCGGTCAGACTTTCCAAAATGGCCAGTCTGCTGTGCCGAATTCGTTGAATTCATCGTAGTGCGTGTGGAGTGTTGCGCAGTTTGGTGCTCATTGGAAGTTGATGTTGTCAGTCCAGTTGAAGGAAAACTGTTGTCCTGGGCAGCCTCCAGCCGCGGTGGACATGGCATCGTGGGCTCAGAGTTCCCACCACGCATCCTGTGCTGCAAGTTGCGCAGCGCTTTCCACAGGGCGCTCACTTGCCCTGGCTTTTCTTGGGCTTTTCCATGGTCTTCTCAGTCTTCTCCTCCTCTGCAGAGCTCACCATCTCGTCGTCGGAGATCGTCAGCACCTCCGTTGCATCCACCGTGACTTCCTTCTTCTTTGCCTCCACTGGCTTCTCCTTCTTGATGGGCCTGGAAGGAGGATTGAAGCTCTCTTCCTCCGGAGTCGTTGGAGATGACTCCGTGCCCGGTGTCCTGGTAGGTGATGTGGAGCGTCTCGAAGGAGTCTTGGGCGTCCTTGAGGTCGGTGGTGCCATCTCCGCGATGTGCTCCTCCGGGATTGGTGATGTCGCTGCCGACTTTGCCTTTGCGCCTTTTGCCTTCGGCGGCTCGTTCATCATCAGCTGTCCCAGGCGCTCGTCGGCACGGACTTGGACGGTTGTGCGTCCGGCTCCATGAGAGTTCACCAATTCCCTGCCCTTCACCTCCATGAGCTTGCCCTGGAAGATCTTCTCGTTCATGTCCGTGGGGGGCAAACTCCACTCGCAGCTCCTCTTGCGCTTGGATCACCAAGTCTCTCGGTGGCCCAACTGCTCTGGTGTCTCCATGGTGGCGTCCCTTGGCCACATAGCTCAGGCGCAGTCCACATCGACTGCATGCTGTCCACAGCGCATACTGGTTGCTGCGCTCGCGGCCCGGTTTGTGGGCTCCCATACATGGCCATCCCGTCTGGCGGGGATCGGAGTCTGCGGCAGGGGGAACCGTTTTCATGTGGTCCAAAGACCTGGTCTTGCAGCTGTTGCAGACGTTGAGCCAAGCTGCTGAGGCGGTCGTCCATGTTGTGACGGTGCCCATCATGCTGAACTCGGCCCAAACTGTTCACCTCATCACCTTGTGCCTTCCATCCATGACAGCTGATCATCAGGATTGGACGTGGTTCTTCATGCTGCTCTGGTTGATGTTCAGTTGGAGTGACATGTGACATACCAGAAGAACCCCCTCTAGTCCCCGATCTAGTTGCTTCAGAAGTGCCAGACCT